TGCTCTAAGTGACAGCTTTACTTTATTATTATGAGATCTGAAGTACAGGTCTATGCCCTGTAAACACAGTCGGATGTGTGAGGAACTGCACTGAAAGACGAGAAGTCGACGCCGTTCCTGCGGAACACGGAGGCGCACCTGCTAATCGCCGAAGCGGAATTCTGAGGAGTTCGGGAGAAGACGAAGCCGAACTCGGACTTGTAGTTGTCTGTGCCAATGCAGGAATACACGCAGGAGTAGCTGTCGTAGTCAGTCTCGATCACTTCATAGGGAGCGGCGAAAGCTGTTGGAGAGAAGGAGGAAATGTGCAGTTGGTCAGTATGTCTATTTTCTACAGTATTTAAAAAGGTACAGTTTTGATATAGACAGGAAAGAGTGGTTTTCACGTACCAGAAGGGAAATCAACGAGCATGTGAGCAGGTGGGAAGTCCTTTGTGGGGTAGATCTTGCCCTGCAGTCTGATGTACTCGTTGTTGGGGCTGAATCCAGCTGTGGTTACCCTAAAGCCGTTGACAGAGTCATAGTCATAGTCGGAGTGGATGCAGCGAGTGTATGGCTGGTAAGGGATGTCGATGATCTGGACCTGATACCAGCGACCAGCATACTGTTGGGGAGCAGATGTTACTAAGACACTCGACACAGTAGTGTTGTGATCAATTTGAAAGTGAACATACCATTAATAAGCAATACATAATAAGGCAACTTACTCTGTGAAGGTCGAAGTTATCTTGATTTGCCACTTTAGCACAAGTTCCAGGAGCTACGAAGTCTGGAATGCTGTCGGCTGCGACAAGAGCCACGAGGGCAGCAGTTAGGAGTGCCTTCAACATGATGTCTTGTCGTGTGTGACTCCTGATGATGAGTCCTGCTCCTTATATCCCATGTCGCAGATAGAGCAGCGAAAGAGGCGGAGCTTCGAATTTCACGAATGTCTTTTTTTTTTTTTTTTTTTATCTTTCATATAATATTCATTAATATTTAAGAGATTATGACTAATCGTATTTCCTATATCTACGGTATAAATATTTTGGACCGTGACTTTCCTCTACGGGATACACCTTGTATATAAAGGCGCTTGAGAAGCTCTCACGCCACTCAGACTGCAGGATCATCATGAGGACTTCGCTGCTGTGCCTCGCTCTCGTTGCAGTGGTCGCTGCCGACAGGATCCCTGGCTTTGTCGTGCCGGGAAAATGTCCTGCGGTCGACGAGAGAATGCTCTACTCTCAACAGAAGCCGAACTTTCAAAGGGCAAGTTGATTTATATGTAAAAATTACGTAAGGTATCTTGTGCTTGTACATATATTCGCACACACATTTAGTATATATATAGATAGATATGTGAGTATGTATAATATATGTGTATGCCAGTGTGTGCGCATGAGTGCGCTTATATATAATCCCGCTTATATATATATATATATATAATATATATATATATATATATATATATATATATATATATATATATATATATATATATATATATATAAGTGGGATTATATATAGGTGTACACATGCACTCATGCATACATATGTACATTTATATGTATGTATCTATATACATACATACATTTATATATACATTTATATATACACATGTAAATATATATATATATATATATAATATATATATATATATATATATATATATATATATATATATATTACATATACAAATGAATATACATGAATACATAAAAATATATGTTTATATATATATATATATTATATATATATATATATATATATATATATATATATATATATTTACACGTTTCTATGGATAATATGTAATGTCTGCATATACATATGCATACATATATATTGATAGGTGTTGAAGTAAATGTATTTTCATAATCAATTTAGCACAATTCTTATGGTCTAATTATCTTAAATTACAGTATGCGGGCACATGGTACGAAATTGCACTCACAAACAACCCATACCAACTGATTAAGCAGTGTGTCCGCAACGAATATACTTATGGTAAGTTTCTGTTTGATTCTACTTTTCAATTTTGTTTAAGAATTTTCTTATTGGTTATAGACCTCTTAGAAAATTTTATACATAAATAATTTTTTTATCCACAGATGGAACCAAGTTCAACGTCAGGACTACTGGTACTGATGCCCACGGAAACGCAATCACACGTAATGGTCAGGTTCTGCCAAATCCTTTCGGAGAACCTCACCTTTCCGTGGACTACGAAGCATGTAAGTATGCACAAGGAAATTTTGTAAATAAAGGTTAAATAAATATGTTTAAGTTATCGAAACAAGGAAATATATGATATGATTAACTGTACTATTTCCCTGTTTCCAGCCTGGATGGCTCCCTACGTGATTCTGGACACTGACTACGAGAACTTCTCGTGCATCTATAGCTGCGCCGGCCACAACTTCGGCTACTACGCCGACTTCGCCTTCATCTTCTCCCGCTCGCCAACTCTCGCTGACAGATACTACAGGCGTTGTGAAGCCGCCTGGACAGTATTACA